TTTTTTTTTCATGCCTGTAAACCCAGCACTCAGGAGACAGAGGCAGGGGGAGTCTCTGAGTTTGAGGCCAGAAAGAGCCACACAGTGAGACCTTCTCTTACAAAGCAAAAGCAAACATAAACAAGTGTGGGGACCTAAACGCGGAGATGGAAAGGAGGGGGTCTGGGGTAAAGCTAAACTGGTGCCTTCTGAGGAGACTCAGGCATCAGGGTGTTTAGAGGACCGGAGGAGTCAGAGCTGAGCTGGGAAAGAAACTGTCTGGCCCAGGACGATGGGACCCTGGGTGATTAGGGTGGGGGATCAGGCCAGTGGTCCAGCCTACCGCCGCGCGCCCTCCCCGTCCCAGCCTGGGCTCCCAGGCCCTCCCTGGTGGTGGCCCCGGCGGCCCCAGCTCCCTGCCGTGGCCCCGCGCAGGCCTGGCTGGAGCCCAGTGGCGCCCGCTCGGCCGGGTCTCCGGCGTGTGTCCCCGCCCTTTGGGCAGGCGTCTGGCCTGCTGCTCTCTAGGACTGGGTGCCCGGGAGAGGATGAACCCAGAAGGGGGTGGAGAGCCCACAGCAATCTTCACACCAGGTTTTTCTGCGCACCTCTGCTGGGAGGGAGGAGGCCGAAAAAATCCCGACAGTCTGTTGGCTCCTCTGTGGCACAGCTGTGTGACCGCGAGTCAGTGACTTCATCTCTCTGGGCCTCAGCTTCCTCATTGATGAATAGGCCAGATTGGCACCTGTTTCTCGAGGTTGTCCAAAGGATGACCCATTTACCAGGCGCTGCTCTGGATGCCTTGCATAGAACCCTGGCTCACACAGGGAGCAGCTTCTGAGCCAGGTCACTCGGTAGCCCCCTTTATCGTCACAACCCACGGAAAGTTGTACCCACTTCACAGATGAGAAATCTGAGGCCCAGAGACACAAAGCCCCTTCCTTGCCCCAGACCACACAGAGTGGGGAATTGATAGGCAGTGGTAGACTTCCAGGATTCTGCCCCGTGCTTGGCCCTGCCAGGGTGGTGCTGGGGAAATTGGCACTCCATACTGTGGGAATTCTTTCCCTGCATTAGCAGGGGCCACGGGGAGCCACACTGCCTCCTGTTGTCAGGGCCAGGCCACCTTCCTCCCACTGTGAAGTTTCTTTTCTGCCAGCTGTCATTCAAGCCCGTTCTTTGGGGAGTGTCCCCTGTCCGCAGAGCCATATCTAGAGGTGAACTGTGGGTGTTAGTCCTGCCCACCAGGCTGTGTAGCAAAGAACGGGCAGATATTCAAGGCTGCAGGATCTGAGAGGGGCTGAACAGGCAGGGGGTTATGTATGGATATTGGGGTACAAAGAGTTTGGTTGTAGGGAAGGCCAGGGAACCTGAACTAGGCCACAGGGGTGGATAGCCCAACCACAGGGACCCAGCTGAGCCTGGTGACGTT